TTCTGCTATATCCTCGGGGCCTAGAACAGTGCTGTCCTCATCCTAAGGCTCAAAAAGTGCCAGTCAAATTTAACTGAATTGAAATCATCCATCCTAGCAGAGGCCTAGGGGACCTTTGCCACACACAGGGTCCTATGGACGCTTCTACTTGTACAAGGATTTTGCTTCACCATCAGAGACACTCTCTGCCTTATTCTGTCTGTCTTTCCTGGAAGGCAGGAGGTCTTCTGGCGGCTCCTAGGAGCTGCCTAGGCACTCAGTAAAAATGATTCAGCAAGCAAACCCTGCTACAATCCATTCTGATCAGGACAGAGATGGAGCTCAGTAGAGAGAGTGGCTATGTCCCACGGCCTGAGATCCCTAGTGGTAAAGGTTAATTCTCAGTAATGTCTTTGGGTTTGCAGTAGGAGAGCTACAGAGGGCTCAGGAGGTAGGGCCCCCTCTAAGAGACTTCCCTGAAGACATGTGGAAATGAATCTGATGGACGGGTCAAGCAAGCTGTCCCCTCCCCTGAATTCTCCAAGTCATGTCTGAACCTCTGTTGCCTGGGGTAGGACACACGGGCTGGTCAGGAGAAGGCATGAGTATGATTTTCCTCCTGGGCCTGTTCTCCCCCAATCCATGGAACACAGGTGGATGTGGGGGGCACTTCATGGGAATTGGATTCTAGTGGGAAGGATCACAGTAGGGATTTAGGTGGCATTTTCTATTGTTTATTGGAAACAATTTGTGTGCTTGCTTCTCTCCTGCAAACAGAGTTCCTCAAGGGCAGGTCCCACAGTCTTCTTTGGGTCTGAAACAGAGTAGGAGTTCGGTTCGCACTGGCTGAAGGAGGATGAGTGCACGAATGCATGAGTGAGATAGGCAAAGCCAGCCCAGAGGGCCTGTCTGTGGGAGCACAGAGGGGCAAGGAAAGTAGTATGTTTTGACTTGTACACTTATAACTTGGAGAAACCATGGCTTCATTATTTTTTCTTGTCATAACAATCCTTCAGAAGTGTGTAACTCTAATAGCAATGGAGCTTAATTAGCCTTCTTGGGAGCAACACATAGGCAGTGGAGTTAGGCTAGTGATAAACATTTCTGACCATTTTTTACTGCTCTTTTGTCACATAATGCAAGTAAATATTTGCACATTGCAATAGTAAAGGAATTATGCAGGCAAGGCATCAAGCAAATTCTATACCTTCCAGCCTTATTCCCTTTTCCTGCTCTGTTAAGGGCCATGGCCAGCTGTAGACCTAGTACACATGCAAGGTTGTTTGGGACAAAGATTAGGTCTCCTGTTTGTAGCCTCATGCCAGCCTGAGGCTTGTTTGTGGAGCTGCCTTCTTCCCCATGTTAGTGAGTGGTGCCAACGAGCCTCAGCCAGGAGAGAAAGTCTCTGCTTCTTTGGGCTTCCTTCCTTCCTTCCTCTTTAGTTCTGTTTCCCAGAGGAGTGGGGGCAGGGAGCCAATTTCCTGAGTTGCTTCTCACTGGGAGGTGAGACACGCCTCAAGAGCTCTAGCAAAAAGAAGGGCACAGGGTTCAGGGAGCTCTTTAGATAGGAGCCAGTTCTCTCAGCCTCTCTGTAACAGTCCAAAGTCCTTGGCACTGTGTCTTCCAGAACCATCCTCAGTCATCCTTCTCCATTCTTTTCCATTTCTGATCTATCTATCTCCTACTCTTGCCTGCAAAATTTACCATTCTTCTTCATCCCCATAGACATCTTCGTCTTTGGATCCTGAGTCTCCATGTGGAGGTTGCCACACTGAAAGTGTCAGCCTAGGGTGAACTGGACTGTGTATGGAAGCAGGAAAGATCCAAAGTCTGAGCTCTACCCCTCCTCCCCTTCCTGGCACTGACCTGCTGTTGCCTTGCCCATGGCCCAGCGAGCCACTGGGTATAGTTCCTGGGGTCCTGTTATCTCTTTGTTCTCCCAAGATTTGCCTTCCAGTGACAAATCATTTCCACAAATCCCAGCAGTGAGCTGGTTCTGATGGGGCCTTTTCCTACCTGGATGAATGTTTGTCTAATTCCATTTTCCCCTCTACAAGTGTCTGAGAGCCCAGGCTGGAGAAGCAAGTGGACACATGTCCATCCATCAGTTCTGTTTTGGCGTGTAGACTGACCTTTCTCCAAAATGGTTGCATTGTGTCACATGTCATGCTGAACTGGGAAGAAGATAACTTCAGCAAGTGAAGCTTAGAGGGTGAGGAAACTCCTGCAGGGTCTCCAGGTCCATCCTGTCCCTGGTGGACCCAGGAGGGAATGTTATCAGACACACCACACACCTGGTGTACACAAACTAAGAGATTTATTTATTCATTTGTCATAAAGTATAGTCATGCCTAGTGAATTCTCTCAGGTGAGTGAAGACAGCTCACCAACAACCCCTCTATGAGGAAAAACTGAATGCAACCTCAGCACCATGTTACTTGTTGGGTCAGCAGCCTAGATACAGTAATGCAGGAGGTATAGCCAAAGGTCTTTCTGGGGTGCTTGTAAGCCTGGGTGATTGGTAGACACCCGGAAGTGCAAGTGAGGGAAATTCTGGGAGCAGAATGGAGAATCCAGCCCAACTATCAACTGATGAGGGCCTGCTGAAGGTCAGCCCAGAGGATAGGGCAAGTTGCACAAGGCCCTGCCATTGAGGAACCCCAGTGTAGGTCAAGAGCAAGAAAACAAGCCCTGGGACACTGAATAAAAATGTGAGACTGAAGCAGAGTCCCAGACAATCAGAGGCCAGCACCATCCCACAGTTGGCAGGAGTCTCTGGGCTGAAAGCCAGAGGTGGATGTAGACAGGGCAGGCATGTTCCTGGGGATGCTCCTCAGAGGAAATGAGTTTGGGAGGAGAGAAGGGGCACCAGGAACTTCCAAGGTCCTCCTGGGTCCACCGTGCTGTGTCCTTTGTCACCAAGGCAGCAGAGACCCTGGAGGTCTGCTGACAGCCAGGAATCTACTCAGAGGAGGGAAACTCCCCAGTCTCAATGGCTGGGTAGGGCTAATTACCCCCACAGGAACCAGGGGCATGTTTATTTAAATCTGTGGAAAGCCACAGCTTCTGTGTCTTCTACAAAAACAAAAAATAAACATCCTTTACCTCCTTTCAAGTAGCCCAACCCACACTGACTGGTGTCTGTGAAGCCAGAACAGTCTAGGTTGGGACAGGGTCAGGCCACTGGCTTGCCTATAGTGCTTGTGTACATGTTCTTCCCCAGGAGGGAAGGTGTGAAACAAAGCTCCTAAATCCCAGACTACCACCAGAGATACAACTGATAATAGAACTGTCAGGTGTCATGACAACATCAGGTACTTCTACTTATGTTTTACCTACATCAGCCACTCCACCCTTATAACACCCCATATTATAGGGGCTACTAATATCCTAACTTTGCAGACTAGGAAATGGAGGCTCAGTGAGCCTAAGTCAAATGCCAAGGTCGGATCTGGTAGGGCTGGGATGTGGACCCTTGAGAAGCCTAAATGTGCACATGTAGTCACCAGACACCCAAAAAGCTGAATCCAACATCCTGCAGTACAGGAAGAAACACCGCAAAGACCATCATAATGCAGGCAGAGAGGCTCTCCTCATCCTAAGAAGTCCCAGTAAGGCCAGGCAGTTTAGCCTGAAGGGCAGCACATATAAAGTCAGGAGAAAACAGCAGGAAGTGAGGGCTCTACATTTCCTCTTTCTCTTACCTGCTCCTTCCCAAAGGTTGGGAGGAACAGCTTGGCTTGCATGGGTGAAAACCCAGGGCAGGTCCTGGACTCTCCTCGACAGAACTGATATAGCACTGGTCTGTCCATCAGCCTGGCTACCAGTGTTCACTGAGATCCCTGGATTATTCCAGGTCAAGTTAGAACTGCTGACATCCCATATGATGTATTCTTTATCATTAGAATTAAATAGGTTTGTAAAATGGGTCTAAGTTACTCAAGTCTTTCCACACAGCCATGATTTATGAAGCCAGAAACAGTTTGGAATATATTCTGTATCTTCTAGGAAATATCCTCCCTCAGGAAGGCACAGGATTGTGTGAGAAGCCATGAGGCAACTGATCCTGAGTTGTGTGCAAATGCAGGTCAACGTGAGGTAGCAGAAAAGTAACTCTGTATGCTCTCAGGTTAATACAGAGGCAACCTGCAGACAGTCCCCGGGAGCCACAGCTGAAGGCTTCTGAGAATCATCATCTCTTCTTCCCCATCCCCAAGGTCACGGTCCAGGGCCTGCTGGTGCGGCCTTCCAGCTGGCTTCAGGCCAGCCCTGATACACATTCCATTCTTTCATGGGACGCTTCCTGAGACTCTTGTTCCGTGGGACCAGGCCTCGGCATGAATCTCAGATGGTTCCCATTGCCATCTGGATAAACTCTTCACTCCCCAGCTGGCCTTCAACACCCTCACAATCGGGCCCTACCACCCAATATCCTCTATCTCCTAACTTTTACAACCTTGCGGCTCTGAACACCCTTGTTCATTTGCCTTTCTAACTCCTGCGCATCCTTGGAGGCCACACTCTCCGAGGCCTGTCTTCACGACGCCCGCCCGCTGCGGCGCTCAGGTTATCCGAAGGAGAGCCCCTACTCCCAAGTTCCCCGGGGCAGAAAGAGCCACTAATTCCAGGGCAGGGTATGGCGCCACGTCCCCGCAGCCGCTTCTAGTAGCAGGTGATCCTCCATATGTGACCGGTGGCACTATCCCGCCAGTCCCTATGCCGCTACGGTTAGAACACGCCAGCCACGTCGGTTCTTGAGGGCGCGTGCGCAAACTCCGGCGGCTGTTTTCTGCCTACCCCGAGACTGGTGCGTGAACACGCGTCCTCGAGGGCTGGCGGGAGCGCGCCGGGGGGGCGTGTGCAGGGAAGGGGCGCGAGGGATGCGCATGCGCAGCGGCAGGCAGCCGCGCGAGCAGAGCTGGGAGATGGCGGCGGCGGCGGAGGTGCCTAAAGTGTGAGCACCGCCCGGGGGTCGCCGGCCCGGGCGCAGTGCGATCCCCAACCCCGCCCGCCTGCCCGCCATGGGCAACGAGGCTAGTCTGGAGGGCGGCACTGGCGAAGGGCCGCTGCCGCCCGGGGGCCCAGGTCCCGGCCCCGGCCCCGGCTCAGGGAAGCCGCCTTCAGCACCGGCTGGCGGCGGACAGCTCCCCGCGGTTGGGGCGGCGAGGGCGACTACGGGACCACCGGCCCCTGGCGCTGGCCCCGGCCCCGGCCCCGGGGTCACGGTCAGGTAAGCGCGCATCTCAGCGCCCGGTGGGTGGGGAGCTGCAGACTGAGGCCGGGCCCGGGGCCCGGGATCCCGCAGTCTAGTGTGGACAGCAAGGTTCGACGTCCGGTCGCACTTTGAACTCTGCCGGGTTGGTGCGAGCCGGGTGGTCTCGGGAAGCGGCCCTTCCTTTCCAGCTGCCCCGCCTTGGCTAGGCAGGATGGCGAGCGCAGGGGTCAATTGGGGCCTGCAGATTGTGACTCCGTCACGAACCCCAAAGTCGCTTCCCCTCAAGGCTGGGGCCCGAACGCTCAGGAGGGTCTTATGTAACCTTAGCCTGGTCCCTCCGCACAGGGGAGCATTGGGATGGAAAACGTCTGCCGTGTCTGCATTTGTCCATTGTGTTGGGCCGAGGAAAGAGCACAATGGGAGTGGCTGTCAGGGAAGATAAGTGTCATTGCGAGGAACAGCGAGATACGGAGATAGCTGAACCATGAACTTGGTCTTGCACTTTCCTCGAGCATTTAGTGGCTGTAACCATCTTTGGGGAAAGGAAAATTGCCCACTGGACACCTAAAGGTACTTATTTAGGCCCAGCAATACTAACAGGGTCATGTGTTTTCACCAAGGTTCAGTGACACGCTTTGGGGTAAAGCAAAAATACTATTGAATCATCTAGTATCAGATTTGTTCTCATTGCCTTTTATGATTTATATCACCACCTCAAATCAGCAGGAAAGCTGAAACCCACATAAAATGCTTTAAAGAGAACATATCTGATCAAATACCGTGAAACCAGCTGGTTTTAAATGTATGCCAACACAGGTCCTGCAAAAACAGTCAAGTGGCAGTGAATGCAGTGGAGGGGAATGTCTACATATAATGTGAGTAGACTGAAAACTCAGGAAAACTACCAAGAGATAACAGGATAAAATGAAAGGCATTATCTTTACACCAAATAAGCCTGGGGAAGATAAGCAAAAACTGGGAGGAGGGGACGCTTCTGGCTCCACGTGAATCTACTGATATATGTTGCCTTGGATTTTCTATAAGCCTGGGGAAGATAAGCAAAAACTGGGAGGAGGGGACGCTTCTGGCTCCACGTGAATCTGCTGATATATGTTGCCTTGGATTTTCTGTGTGGAGGCACATAAACTGTGAGGGAGCATAATTTTCGATTCATAGCTGTCCAGCTGTGCCTCTCATGTGTTTATTTCCTCAGAAATCATTTCTTAGACAATTAACAGTTTATGAAGGCTCTTAATAGCCTGAAAACCTGCCACAGGACAGCCTGTGAGCATCCTTTTTAGACGTGGGATTTGTCCATTTTATATTAGCTATTACAGTAATACAGTTGGGTAGCACACAGCTCTCAGCTCTGCAAACATTGTCCATTTTGTTGCATGTTGAGGTGCTGTTTGGGTTTTAGCTTGAGGGAGGCTCACCCAAGCTTCAGTGCTCTCCCTCCAAGGGAAAGCTTCTATGGCTGAATGGTAAAACACCTTGTTATTAGGAGTTCTCTGTATGGGGAATTTGGCATTTCCCTTCTGGTAATCAAACAGGCTGCTCTGCTTGTAGTTTATCAGTTGTTACAGAGCCAAATATGAAATTTTGGAAAGACTTGGGCAGCTCAGAGAGGTGAGAAGGAGGCTGCCATCTACTGCTCATACTCCTTTTCAGTGTTTCATCTCTACTCCATCTACGCATTCTGCTGCAGGGCAGACCTATGAACTGCTGGGGGTGAGGGGAACTATGGGCTTCTGCTGGATTTAGCAGTCACAGTCTCTCACCTGGCTGTGGGCAAGGCTCACACATTGGCTTGTGGTGCTGAGGACCTGTGACTATCAGGCTCAGGAGGTAAGCTGGCTTTTTGTCACCAAAGCTCAGGAGTGGGGACCCTTACAAAATGGGATCTACTCTTCCAGCTTATATTCATCTTATCATAATGCCTCAGCTGAGCAGCACCTCCATGGTCTGTCTCTCCTTCAGTGTCAGAATGGCTTCTACTTCCTCTCACCAGAGCGTCTCAGGTACCTGATGCCAAATTTAGCATGTTCTGTTCTGAGATGCTGCTGAACAGATTGGCCCCTTGATGGAGAAAAAGCCCTGTGGCTGTGCTTCTGGGCATTCAGGAAAGAGCATTGGAGCAGGGACCTATTTATTTCCAGCAAGACTGTGAATTTGGGGGCAGTCAGAAACCTCATAGAGGTAAGTAGAGGATCAGATAAAGGGGAGATCATTTTTACTAACCTTAGTGGGGAATGGAACTGAGGTTCTGGGGGATTTGAGTCCTATCTCTTTCTTATTGCTATATTACCCCTTGTCTCCCTGGGCTGAGTTAGTCTTTTCATATTCATACTGAGCTGTCTTGGGCTCTGTGAGGATGTGCTCCAGTGTTTGTGGCTGAAATGCCAGACTTGAATCCCATGAGTAGCAGTGCTGCCGCAACCATAGTACTCCCTCTTAGCCCATTGGGATGATATGGAGCTCTGAGCATCAGAAAATCCCTCAAGGAAGAGCTTTCTGCTTCTGGTCTCCAGGTCGCCATTTACAGTTATATATGCCATGCTTTTCCCAAGGTGTGCCAGACTGGCTCAAGCTGTGCTCTCCAAGCTGTGTGCCCTGGCATGGGTTGCATACTCGTAGAGGAAGGAGCATCTTTAATTAATTAATTCATTCATTAATTCACTTATTTATGAAAATATGCCTAATGTACAGTGGGGTATACAATTGATGGGATTTTACCTATATGTACGCCCATGACACACCACCAGATCAAGACAGAATTTTATCAGTACCCCAGACAGTACCTTTTAAAGAAATTACACAAAGGAGCCATGTAGACCAGTGGCAGCCTGTTTAGTTTATATTAGCCCTGTGAACTTGCACATGTTTTGACATTTTCAAATTGACCTTTAGTCAGTCAGCTAAGGTATATTTACCAGCTATCAAGAGCAAGCACTGAGCTTGGCTTGTGGAGGGCCTGGAAGGGTCTATGCTGCTTCCCTGTCCTCTAGCACTTCATAATCTGGTTGGTCAGATAGGTCTTGAACAGCCAAATTATGGAAGAACCCTAAGAGAGACACTGTGGGCAGCTCCATGTCTGAGACATATCAAAGCGACACTGCTTATAGAAGGGTTGTTAAGTGGGGAGAGTGAAAAGACAGAGCCAGGCCTCAGGAGAGGGAGAGATCCTGGAAGAATGGTGGGGTTAAGAGAGGTGGAGAGGGAGAGAAATGGCATGAGGAGTGTAGTGTACACAGGCAGGGACAGTGAGCATAGAATGAGGCCGAGTGAGGCAAAGCCAAGTGAGGCACCTCTCTCTCGTTACCCGTGAAAATATGTGATCAAAGCCAAAAAAAATAAAGTCACCTCTCCTCACTTCTAGCCTATGTGCCATGACATATAGGCTAGAAGACATCTTGAGCCAAAGGCAGCTGGGCACAGAGAACCTGATCATTTGCTGGAAGGTGGGCGAGACTGCTGTAAGAACCGCACCCAGAGCTCTTTTCTTGAAATAGATTTGTCAGGCATAATATCTCTGGTCTGGGATTAGCCAGACTTGTTCTATTATATCACCTAACAGTCAGGCCCTAGAAAAATCTGGGACTAATTTGTGAAGATATAATGACAGGACACAATAGCTAGGTTTAGAAATAATTGTCCTTTATCACTTAGAGATCTTGCTTGGCCCCAGTGGCTGGATTCTCACATAGGGCATGTCATGGTGTGTGCACTAAAGTGGCCTCACATCTGAATGGTGATGATGTCAACATTTTACCCAAAGAGGGCAGCCATTTTTGCATTTCTAGCCAGGGAAAGAGGTGTATTTTTCTAATATGAGTATAGTTGTTCCTAGCATTAGTAAGCCTAACAGGATGCTATTAATAAAAAAGAGTTATAATGGCAAAATTAGGGAGAGAAAGGCTATCTTTTTTTAAAAAAATTTTTATTATGGAAACTCTCAAACATACATAAGAGAATAGTCTGATGAACTCCCATGTTCCCATTGCCCAGACACAGCCATTATCGGCTCATGGCCAATCAAGTTTCGTCTATTTCTCTCCCCTCCCACTCCCCACATAAGCAAATTTCAGACATCCCAACATTTCTTCATCAATATTTCAGTGTGTATTTCCAAGAAATAAGGGCTTTGCATAAACATGACCATAGCACCATAATTGCATCTAAATAGAATAACAATCCCTTCTTAATCTCAGCAAATATCCAGTCAGGGTTCCATTTTTCTGATTGCCTTATGAATTTATTTTTACAGTTGGTTTGTTTAAATTGTGATCTAAACAGAGGCTACACATTGTGTCTGTCAGATACATCTCTCCAGTTTTTTTAAATATATAGATTCCTCTCCTTTCTTTTCCCCTTGAAATTTGTGTATTAGAGAACCATGTCATTTGTCCTGTGGTTTCTCATATTCTGGATTATGCTGACTGCATCCCTGTGGTGTCATGTATAATGTTCCTCTGTTCTATATTTTTCCTATAAACTGGAAATTATACCTAGAAGCGATTCAGATTTAAATTTCATTCTTTTGGCCAAGAATTCTAGCATTTTTTTTTTTTTTTTTTTTGTCTTTTGTCTTTTTTCCGTGTCTGGCAACGGATCGCAACCCTCAGTGTTGCCCCCGTACCGGACCGGGGACCGGCAACGGGATCGCAAGCCTCGGTGTTGCTCCCGCCCCTCGCTCAGCCAGTGAGCGGGAGCCGGTCTGTATGTGGGATCCGAACCCTCGG